CTATTCAGATAATTAGACAAGAAACCATTGAGACATCAACAGAAGAGAAGGGAATTTAAATTTGACATTAGAGGCTTTCCACAATAAATTTTGCTAACAAACGTCAACAAACAATTTAATACATCAGTTCAGCTAGGATTTATTTTGTTAAAAAAAAAGTATAAAGCCAAGTTAAGTATTACACCAATTGCAGAATTTTTGCAAAAGCACACAAAAAAAAAACAGTAGAAGAAATTTGACTGGATACATGTTTTTAGTGGACAATCTTGAACAGTATGAAAAGTTATGATATGCCAAATAAGCTGAAATTTTTGCAGTCATTCAAGATCAAATGCTTCTATAAAATTATATGTTAACTTAATTTTGTTGAAGGAGATACGACGACATAATGCAGATTTTATTGCCTTACATATGCAAGAAGTTGGTGGTAAAAATTATGAAGTCTGTACAGCTCAGGTACCCGGTTTTGTTGAAAAAATAGCAAGCTGCTTACGTCCGTTAGGATATGCAACAGTGGAAGCATACCTGGATTTGGACTATGAAGTAGCTGATAACTATGTTGTATGTATTATTCTGTGCTTTTTATTTTTCATTTTTCACTTTTTGGCTATTGAATTTATAGTCTTAGAATTTTTGAAGGCCGGATAGACGGAGGACTTATTCAATAGATTGAAGTTAAAGATAGGAAATGGGTTTGAAATTTCCTAGTATTTTTGTATTCTAGAGTTTTTCACGTTTATTGTAAGTCAGGTACTGCAAAAAAAGTTAACGGGTTTGGTGGAAATCTGCAGTTTAGTGCATAGTGTCAGATAAATCCTGCAGGGTTTAATTAAAAAAGCAATTTCTAGATTGATTCTAAAAGCCAACAGAAAAGTGTTTCATTTTTGATGTTCTTAAAAGCGAAATCTACATGAAATTGATATATAACTGCTTTCAGAGGTGTTAATTTTTAATGAGAATTTTTGTTTTTTAGGCCAAAAAGAGAAGAAAAAAAATTTTTTCTAATTTATGTCTTATTTGATATGTTATACTTTATTAACTTTTAGCTGTTTGTTTATATTATATTTTTTTGTATAAATATGTATTTTTTTACAGGCACTTTATTTAGACAAGAATATTTTTGACATTGAATAGGAATTTGAAAATTTATTTTTTCTGTTTTGTTTTTGTGAGAATTTTAAAATTGAGCGATGAACGTTTTTATGGTAATAGAAAATTTTTCTGATCAATTGTCGGGTTAGAAGTGTAAAATATAAAAAAAAAGTTTTTGACAAATTCAGTAAATATTATTTGTATTTGGTTTTTAGCGTGGGCTGCAAGAAAAAAGCTTTCAATTCAGCTACGTTAAAATTATTAATGTATACAAAAGTTTCGAAGCTTTGACGTCATTTCAGATTATTGCTTTATAACGTTGGGTATTGTTAATGTGATTGATTTCATTTTTGTTATTTAGTCTGTAGAGGCATCAGAAAAATACTGCCAAAGTTGGTAGGAGAAAGGGAAAAGGGGGACGGAGTCACTTATTAGATATATCTGTTTAACAGCCATTATTATGTGTACGGATAATTCAGTTTCAGTATTTAGGCACTTGGCTCGCTGTACTTTATTCGGGATACCTGTAAACTAGCGGTGGATCAATATGATTTCAAATCAAAGCAGTATACAAAACTGGAACGAAATTTTGTGATGGTGACAAAGGGTCTTTCCAGGTGTACCAAAATACGAAAAGCGAAGTTTCCGAAAGATTTTTGGCCAACAGTTAGATGGACACGAAAAGGATTCATGCATTGTCGCTTTCGATTTAATAAGACGTTAGATTTGCAATCAAATTTATTCCTCTCAGAAGAAAAAAACGAGAATTTTTTAAACAAGAAATAATAAGGATACTTAGCATAAACTAATTTATTGCGTTTTTTTTGCACTGTTTACTGTTGAGGGAGTTAAGCAGAAAAAATGAAGAAAACAAAAAAAATTTTATTTAAATGTATTGAGGAACAGTTTTCTTTTAGACCTATTGACTTCGTTAATGTTCATCTGTTCCACGATGACTCAAATATTGCCTTGGTACATGAGGTTAGAATTATGAATTCTTTGTTTTCAAACCAGCACAGAAATACAGCTAATGGGATAAAAAATTACAAATAATTTCTGGAATTTGTATAAAAATTTAGATCTACAAAAAAAGAATAGTTTTTGAATATTAAAACAGTTTTAGAATCCAGCACTGTATAGTGAAAATCGAAAACGAGCCCTAAATTTTGTAATTGAAGAACTTCGAAGGCTTGAAGACGGACGACCTGACGCATTGTTTCTCTTTGGCGATCTGAACTTCCGTCTTGACTCAGCTTCTTTCCTTAATGTATTTAAAATACAGTTTTAAGTTATTCTTCGTTATTTTTTTATCTTTTCTTGTGTGTAGCATTTCGTACTAGGATTTTCTTTCCTAAATATAAATTTCTGGTTTTTTATAGCTTTTTTGATTTTTGAGCAAAAAGTTTAAAATGATTTCAGCAGTCTTTTTCAATTAAGTGAACAGCTGGATTGCTGGTTTTGGATTAATTTTGACAATTGGCTGCAAATGCTCTTGATAAGCAGTAGTTTTTTTTTTTTTTTAGAGGATAACAGAAGGTGCTGACCAACGGCACGATTCGGTAATATTTACCGAAGGTGCTGATGACGATATAGAAACAACATCGTTAGCTGCGGTAGAACCGGTCAGCACAGATTTTTTGAAGCCAAATGATGGGCACGAAGCTGAAGGTTTACGCAGGACGGTATCAGCTATCGAATTTCGAAGATCACCAAATTCTTCAAAAAAAGATTTGCAGTCTAAGTTAGTTTATTTTTTTTTGCTTTACAAGAAAGTGGTAAAAGGATGAAGGAAAACTAGACTTTGTATTTGGTTAAGTGATGAACTGTCTTTAAATCCTCACAAATCTTTTTTTTGAAGACTTTTAAACTTTTTTTTTTGGGAAACTCATTTTTTTTAAAGAGTATAAGTTTTTCATTAGCAGTATTATAATTCTATGGTTTTTTTGTCTAAAATATTGTAATTTTGCTCAAATTTGTATGGTTTCAAATGAAGTTACAAAGATGATTGAGCAAAAGCTATCATTACTGAGTAAGTTGTAATAGTCATACCAATAGTTTGTTAACAGTATTGTAGTTCTAAATGAGTTTTGTAAATGGCTCAGCACCGATCTCACAGAATATACTATGGAAACACTGACAAATACAGTATTTATCAGTTACAGTTCTACAAACGTGCAGTCGTTGTCATAAATTATGCAAATTTTTTAGGTGTTGTAATTTCTTATTTGAAAGTATCTGCTTCTAAGGTTGAGCTATAGGCCTGTTGATACAGCACTTTAGTGTTCCAGAATCATCTGATTTTGAAGACCAATATAGGTTTTCTCTGTTTCGTTTCTAGGCACTAAGGTTTAGCTATAATATAGTCATTTTTTTCTTAATTCGTAATTTAAACAGTCGGCAGCTGTTTTTTTCCTAATCTTGTGATTGGAAAACTGAGATAGCAGTTTATCAGACTTATTCTCAGTTATCGTCTTATTTAAATATCTGATACCGCTATCAGCTGTTTGCACGGTAGAAGTAGCAGAAAAAAAAGCTGCATTTTTTTTTAGTAATTTAGTTATCTGTTGATGATAAAGTCAATAGGAGCAGCAGTAAGTTGCTAACTATCCTTCTATTCGTCTCGATAAACATTTCGGGTTCCTCTTGTCTACTGTTTTTGTCTACGCGTTTTTACTGCAATTTATAACAGTTTTAAGGGAAAGAATTAATTTGCAAAACAAAGAATACAGTTTTAGTCGAGGAGTTAGTCAAGTCATACTCAACATTAGATTAAAGATTTATGCTTTTTATGTTTTGGAGGAACATTAGCATAAGCTTAAGTATTAGCTACAAGTATTTGTCGTTCTGTATTTCTTTTGGCCTCTAATTAAACCACTGCTAAAATGTCTGCTTTTTTTTTTAGCTGAATTTTCGTAAATAAAAGTGCTGCTAATATACAGCATAATTTTGAAAACATTTTATTAGTATGCTGAGATATCAAAAAAGCGCACTTTTTTTGAAGCACAGTTTATAAGGTTTACAGTGAGGAGTATAACTGAGAGTTTAGGAGTTTTAGCAATTTTATGCAAAAAATGAAAAATTAGAAAAGACTGGAAATCGTCTGTTTCAGTCATAGGCATAGTTGCCAACGGTAATAATGTCTGCCTTAATTTTATCTTTAGTTCTTCTGGTTTCTATAGAATTTTAATCAATTTTGATAAAGTGGCAGTTGCTCAGCAAATTTCCTATTAAAATGCAAAGCGATTTTGAAAGATTGCTGCTTTTTTACGTCAATCCAAAAAAAAGTAAGTCTTATTAAAAAATCTTTGCAAGCAAAAAACACAACACATTTGGTACTTTTGCAATTTTTTTCTCTTTTTTTGAATTATAAAAGATATATCTGAGACATTTTATGCATCACTTGATAAAAAAGTAAATTTCATTTAAGTGCAAGAAAAAAAAAGATGATTGTCACCAGAAAGTTGTAGAAAAAAATAAACTCAGTTGAAAGCGGACAGGGAAAGGGGGGAAGGGTCTACCAATAATTTATAATCTTTCCAGGATTTTAACAACATTTAGTTGAGAATAATATCATGTTTTTTTCTTAGTTCTCAACATTTTTCAATAAATGTTACAGATTCAGTTGTGCATTGAAATTTATGCTTGTAAAAGACAAAAAAATTTAGAAGCTCAAATTCAGAAGGTGTCTGATAACTGAAAAAATTTTATATTAAATGTTAAAACAGCATTTGAATTTAATTTTTATATTTACTGAAAAGCAATTTTTTTGCAGTATTTTTGAAAAACATTAACAATTTCAAATCGGCTGGCTAAAAGACGGTTTTTTGCAGTAAAGTAATTTGTTGAAACTCAAAGTTACATTTATGCTTGTTTCTATTAATGTCAGCTTCTGTTATTTTTGGCTTCTGCTGCTGTTATCTACTAAAATTTACTGCTTAACAAAAAAATATTTGAAGAAAAACAGAAAGAAAGAAATTTGTGCTTCTTTAAATCTTTTCAGTTATTTAAATCAATGTTCTGCTTGAAGAGTGTTGAGAAATTATGAAATTAGAATGTTATCTTTTCATTTTGCAAAATTACAGAGAAAAGTGTAGATCATTTCTTAAGATTACATAAAAACCATTTTGATCTCATTATGAAATTATTTTAATATGAAATTTTTGTTTTAAAAGATGAAAATTTTTTTAAACATTTTAATTAACCATTTGTTGAAATTGATCAGATGACCAATATTAATAGAATTATTGTGAAAAGGTCATTAATAGTCAGAGTGTATGAAAAAAATAAAAAAAATTTATTCGCCTACACACTTAACAGTTATTAATGGCAATAATAAGGGAACAAATATCTTTGCACTAAACTAAACCAAACTACACTAAACTAAAAACTTTGAATTAATTTGATCAATTTAGGTTGATAATTTATAGTAAATTACCACACTGGTCTGCTATGTTTTAGCTGTGTTTTACGAATTGAAAAGAAACGATTTGATTATATCAACCATAAACGTTTACTAAAGGAATGGGAGTATTATTTGGAGGATGACAAAGAAGTACTAAACTTTCCATATTTAAAAGAGCTGAAAATTCGATTCCCACCGACGTAAGTTCTTCTTTGGAAACAATTGCCTATTAATTATGAAAATCTTTGATAGGACTGGTGAACAAAAAACAAAAACCAGCTACTGTTACAGTTTTAATATGCTGTGATTGAATTGTACACTCTTTTGCAGTTATCCGTGGAGCGAAGATCCAGAAGATTCTGAAATGCTGATGAAAACTCGAGCACCAGCTTGGTGTGATAGAATTTTAATGAATTCACTTGCTTACGAGATGGTTGGCAGTAATGATAATGTTGTCTACGATAGTATTGGAAAAGACGTCTGTATGGGAGATCACAAGGCAAGTCATATTTTAGTCTACTGAAAATTCTATATCATAGCATTTACAAATTTATATCGTTTTAGTAACTTACAGCAACTTATTAGGTTTCTTTTAACTCTTTCTTTTGTTTATCATGCAAGCAACTTTATAAACAACATTAATTAATTAAAAAATAAATTTCCTATTTGGAAACATTCTTTTTATTTCTATAATTTTTTCATTATACTGTTCTGAAGACGATAAAATAGTCGGTAGAAATGTTTCAATTTATTTGGATAGATAAGGCTCAAATAGGTTTAAGTAATATGACATCAACTATTAGCCTTAATAAAGCTATCCTGGTTAACCAAAGAGAATGTTATGTTTTACCTGAGCTTCTTTTTTAGATAAGTTGATGCAATTTAGGTATTTTTTTACAAAGAAAAAATTGGTATTTATTCAGTTGGACAAAATGTCACTTGATTTTTAAAGGTTTATTGCTTTGCAGTAGACGATTTTATTGAGTCACTAAATGTAATTTATAAGTTGACATGACCAATCGCTTACTTTACTTGTTTTTTTAATGATTATGAGAAAAATTTATGGAAGCTGTAAAGCTGTTGCGACGTTTCTTTCTTCGACATTTTTTACTTGACCGTTTTTCACTGAAACAATAGCTAATAGCGCTGTTTGAAAGTAACTTGTTTAAGACTATTTGGTTTCAATGCAGGAGCATAAAGAACCTGAAGCACAGTGGTATTTTGACTTTACTAAAACAACGGTTTCCTTTGGTGAAAAAAAAAAA